TCCTAGTGATCGAATCGGTAAAGGACGGGGAGTAACGGCCCTGTCAGGGTGCGCGGCGACAACGGCAACCATACTATACCACGGCCAATGGTAGTAGTCAAGGCGGTTAATTAGGCGATTATAGAGAGAGAGGGAAAAAACCGTTACACACGCATGTCCATTGTGTAACAAATCTAGCCTACCTGGTTTCGGCGGATACAACTTAAAATTTGGGTTTTAGCATACCAGCTTGTTGCGGTAAGTGGGTGGTAGCGCAGGGTATTTCCATCTATGGTATTTCCCACACAGTTCCGCAACAGAGCCCAATAAATGAATCCGCTGAGCGCAATGTATATGTATAAAACAGTTTAAACTGAATAAACACGATATCAGCGCATGCACAGTGGTTTATGTTAAAAAAGTATGTTGAGAAGTATATAAATAGACGTGATTGTAAACCTGCTAGCCGGCAGGGTGTGTGCTAGCGATAGCGCGAGCATATATACTATATCACTGCTATTGTAAACGCGTGGTGCGGTGTACGGTGATCTCTCTATATATATATATATATACATATAGCATATAAATAAATATATTAATTAGAATGTAATACGCGACTTCTAGAGGGTCAATTTCGTGGTATAATCTACGGCGATGATTACCTACACGTAAGCCGTCACTGGGCGCGTGCGCTCGATACAGTGGTATGTAGGTACCTCGTAACCTCGTAAATAAAGTCCACGGAACTATATCGAAAACGGAGAGACAAAGTTGATCAGATAGACATATCGATACTGCGGATCGCAGTATAAAAAGCTTCAAGTAACTAAAGAGGAAGGGAGAGAATTTTAATACGGAATGACAGAAACAAAGAAGCTAATAGTACACGTCATGTCTACACCCAAGCGTGAGAACATCTACCCTTGGTAATTATCTAGCTGCACATTTTATTTATGTGCATATTGGCCGCCGTGCATGCGTTGTAAATAGCATAAAATAAAATGAAACGCCAACCGAACACTCTCTGTCCACTTCCCGAGCATTCCACATGGCTTCTATAGTAGGCCTACGGGTGATATATGACGTTTTACATACAATATATTAGGAATGCTGTACTTTTGTTTTACTAATATTGAATGTAAATATAGTTATAACACTAATAGACCACAAGACATATTTGTTTTGATGCACGTAATATATGTTCAAGGGAGCAGTGTGCAAGAGGATGTGCGCAATTCATATTTACTCGCTCTGTAAGCGCGATCCTAGCTGTAAACCCAGAGCTCTGAATTGTTTTTCCTTTTCCTGGACCGTACTCTCCATATAAATCAATATATTGATACTATAGTCAGAGGTACACTGTAGTATCTTAAAACGTTTTGACAAATGTTATTTAATTTAGCTAATTTCAAGTTATATGTCATTTGATTTAGTGAACAAGTGATTTACGCTCATTGCTCTAGCGGTGGTTTATCTGAGGCTTTGCAGCGCTGATAGAACACGTTTACAAATGTCCAAACTCCACGACAGATGGCGCTCTCGCTCATGGTCTCAAAAGTCTATCTATGGTATCCTGACTGTACGAAGGTGCACTGCATGCAGTTTGACAAATGCCACGGGTTGTGTAATCTGTAAACGAGATGCTAAAGACTTTATTGACACTGTAAATAAAGCAAACATGTGCCAAGCTTGCATATGACTGCGGTCAAGGTAGTTTTCAGACTTGGCCGGACGGGGTTGCAGAAAGGTGGGCGTGGAAGTGAAGTTCGCAAAGCGGCATCGACACTGACAGTCGGTGTCACTGACAGTGACACTGTCACTGGTGCTGGTACTAGTAGTACTACTACTAGGCGACTGCTCAGTTCTACTGCGGCTCGCCACGTTACCACTGACAACAGAAACACCACGACCAAGATGGAACTCGCCGAAGTCGTTAAGAAACTCGAGGAGATCGCTCCGCTGTCCCTCGCGGCGAGCTGGGACAACGTCGGCCTGCTCGTTGAACCGTCGCCGCCTCACCCCGTCAAATCCATTCTCATCACGAACGACCTGACGGAGGACGTCCTTGACGAAGCCATAGAGAACAAGGCGTCGATGGTGATCGCCTACCATCCGCCGATATTCCAGCCGCTGAAGCGACTGCGGGCGACGTCGTGGAAGGAGCGAATCGTCGTGAAGTGCGCAGAGAATCGCATCGCGCTCTACTCTCCGCACACCTGCCTCGACGCGGTGGACGGGGGAGTGAACGACTGGCTGATCAGCGCGTTCAGTACGTATGCGCTACGCCGTGTCGGTCTTCACGTGAGTTCTGCTGATAGGGTCTATATGTCCCCCAGGGTACTGCCGGAACGTACCCTGGGTACGGTACGTATGCCGGACCGTACCTCGCCTACTCCACTAACGAGTCTAGGGAGTCGCCTACGCCTACTCCCTAACCCTAACCCTAACCCTAACCATATCCGCTAGATAGTTACCAGGGTACGTTCCGGTATACCGGACCGTACCCAGGGTACGTTCCGGCAGTACCCTGGGGGACATAGACCCTATCAAGAGCTAATAATTGAGCTTGATTGAATTGAGCTTGATTGAATTGAGTTGAGTTGGATTGGTTGGATTGGTTGAATTGATTGAATTGAGCTTGATTGAATTGAGCTTGACCCTATCAGCGTTAGGCCTAGTACTATATATAGCCATTGTTTGCAACAGGGCCTGTGGCAAACAAGGGCTACTGTTTATAGTACTAGAGCTAGTAGCTGGCAGGGGCAACTGTACGCGGGCTATAGTTACTAGAGCTATAGAGCTAGGTGCGCGTGTGTGTGTGTGTGAGGTAGCGGGTGGCGGTTGAGACTATATATATAGCCACAAGTTACCTTCCCGCTTCTCAGTATGTGGCATCCTACGACGTGTAAGATTCGCAGAGCCGGCCTAAGCCTAGTTTAGCATCTCAGATCAGTTTAGCAAATGTACAAACACATATTGCTGGAGTACCAAACTATCCTTGATCCCATAGAGCCTGGTTGGGCGAGGTGGAGACTAGATGAAATAATGTGACCCAACACAAGAGTACTAGGTGTTTGGTTACATTATTGTATCGAGACCTGTGAGTCCCTGCCTTCTTCTGGGTTAATATGCTTAATTGGGACGATCTAATGGATATTAAATGCCCAAGCAAATTAACCCAATTGACGGGGATTACTTTTCATACTATTAAAATCCGGATATTATTCCGTATCACTTTTTGTTTCTTTTTTCCATGTCTAATGTCAAATATTCCACCGGGAAACCATTGATTCGTCTCTATTTGTAAGAATCGAGTTTTTCGGCGATCTTTCGTATGTACGTATACCGTTCACCTCGTATTTGTTCCAGAGCCTAGTGATGGGAAGTGGCAGGTTAGACCCATATCAGCTGTTACGGCCAGTAAAACCCTGTCCGGCGCAGGCTACAGAGTAGAGATCAACGTTCCGCCGAATGTTGGGCAGGACGTAGTGGCGAGGGCAGTCGGAGAATTCACGGGGATAAACGGTGTCAGTGTTACACCGATGGATACGTGAGTGCTAGCTCTGGTACATCATATAGCCCTGGATGGCTCTGCCACTTTGCACGCTGCCTGTAGTAGTACTACAGCTACGTGATTGCTAGCTCTGTGCGGCTAACAAAACCATCTTGTTTTGCACAAATAAACCATCTTGTAAACAAGATTGAACAGCCTGCCTAATATGTATATGATATATATCGTGCAGGAGTACATAATCACAAAATTTTCAAAAAAACTACTTATTATGTATATTCATATCACCAGAAGTAGATAATAGGGAATCCCTATTATCTACTTCTGATATCACTTACCATGTAATCCTTCTTATGTCGTTTCTTCGTAAAATATTTTTCACTGTGGAATTGAGTCGTATTTAATTTTGTCCATGTTTTCATCACAGGTACGGCTTTGATGATATAATTAGCACTGGTTGACGTAGTAGTCATCGTGTTATATTAACTATTTACGTCTAAATTTGATGTGATAACCTCGAGGCGGTGATGCCATGTGCTGTCTGTTAGAGCTGTTCTGTTTGTCGCAGGGATACTGGGCAGTTGCTGCTACTGAATCCCCCAGAGGAGGAGTTAGTGAAGGTGATGAAGGTGCTAGATGGATATCCCACCTTCAAGGTCATGACAGATATATTCAAGATTGTGCATGTATGTATTAAAGTACACTTTATTAGTACGAATTGTTGCAATATGGTAATTGAATGATGAAAAACCATTAATTTCTAAAGGAAACGGTTATATCTGTAAGAAAGTTGGCTCAGGAATTAGTATTCATTCCATTATTATTCATGTGATTCCAAATTACTTGAAGCCAGGCATAGCTGTTTAGTATAATACTATAAACTTGTGGTACGTACTTAACAGTGCTCGAAGCGTTGCACGGTTGTCCGAGACAACCAGAATTTGCGCCAGACAACCTAACCAGTCTGAGACATTGCCCGGTGGACAACCAAGAAACACTATCCCTAACCCTAACACTAACTCTATACCGACTCTGCTATCTTATATACGCGTGGTACCCAATTAATCTATGGTGTATAACCTTTTGCTTTCAATATTTTGCATCTGAACTGACAATCAATCCCAACCAACTGGAGTAGGCTAGCTGGCACAATAATGTTCAGTTTCATACTTCAAATCCGAGTGTTTTCTAGCTCATCAAGAAATCTTAATCGTGAATTAAATCGTGAATAATATGAAAATATGGGACCAGCTGCTATTTCCAACACTGGTATATGTCAGGTTTTCTGACTTATGAGAGGTAAACTCGATTTGGAACCAGCAAACCAGCAAGTTTCTAAAATTTTCTGGAGGAGGACCCCCATACCACCCCCCCATGCCTGTTTTTCACCCCTCCCTCCTTGGAATCCTAGACCCGCCACTGAACAATTACATATCTTGGGAGCAGAGAACAATGAACAAAAATGTCGCCTTTTCGCATGGCGCCCAAAACAAAGATTGCAGAGCTGAGAGGTAGAGGAGCCAGTAAAATATTAAGTCATCCACTATTTTGCGCAGTTAGCTGTTTTTGGTCCCCCTTGTTAAAAAATCCTGGCTATGCCACTGTTTTCGGGTGTTTTCTGATCATATTATTATGTGATTGAAAATAGGAGATTTGGGGATATTTTTTGGGACAACCAGAAATTGTTGCGGACAACCCGATTTATTGCACAGTAATAATAGCATGACTACGATGTAAGGGGGGGGGGACATGCTACTCAACCATCGCCAATCACCAACGGTCTTGATGCTTGCGTTACAGCCGCCCGTTCCGAACCTAGGTATGGGGAGGGTGTGTTACATTGACACTCCCGAGCGCACCTTGGCTGACGCCGTCGACACTCTCAAGCGCCACCTAGGCGTGAAAAATTTGATGATAGCGCTAGCCAGGGGCCACAGCCTACAAGGTATATCATGAATAGTTAATGTATGCTTGTGCAGAGAGATGGGGAGAGAGAGAGAGGGAGAGGGAGAGAGAGACAGTGAGAGAGAGGCCGAGAGAGGCAAATATAGACTGAAAGAAAGCTAGAGAGTTAGAGATATAGACAGATAGAGAGAAAGAACACGCACACATGCATGCATGCAGGCACGCACACACAGAGAGAGAGAGAGAGAGAGAGAGACCGTAAGAGAGAAATATAGACAGAAAGAAAGATAGAGAGTTAGAGATATAGACATAGAGTGAGAAAGAACATGCATGCACGCACACATGCATGCATGCAGGCATGCACTCGCAGAGAGAGAGAGAAAGAGGGAGAGAGAGAGAGAGAGAGAGAGAGAGAGAGAGAGAGAGAGAGAGAGAGAGAGAGAG